GCTACCTTTTGGCTCTAACTGCACTCCATAACCATGTGTTTATTATTTTTCACATGTTATGGTCGTATTTTGGATGAAAAGTCTCAAAGTTTTTAATATTATGATTTGTGCCCATCAGTGAGTCTTTTCCACTTATAATGAACTTAGAGGTCAGAGGTCAACTTCTCTGGACTGAAACTGAAGCAACTCCAGTCCACAGCAAAGAACCTGAGAAAGTTAGAAAGTGTTTAGAGGCGGGCAGCAGCCATGTGGTGCCTCCATGTCTCACCTCGGTTCTGATGGTTCTGGTCAGGATGGGTCTCACTGGGTTCTGAATGGAGCAACCTGGAGTTGTTTCTGTTTAAACATAAAGGAAAAATCTCACATTTCTTTTTCAGGTCTTATTTTGAGTTAAACACAGCAGAACTTCCTGTCAGCAGCAATAATCCTCCATTCATCACATAGAAACATTGATAAGTGTTCGGGTTTTTTTTTTAATCATTATTTAAATAATTCCGCAATGTTTTGGATAATAATGGTTATGGGTCTGGTTTCTCCTTGGTTCATGGGTGGGAACATGGGTCAGGTGTACTGAGGTAATCAGTATTGGTTTGTTCCAGCAGAACCGGTGTGGTTCTGGGTTCATTCTCACCGAACCAGCCGGGTTTTACCGCCCAGCGGCCTGAATGCGACCCGCATGGCGGCGCCGCTAACACCGGTCGGTTTGCCTGGCGTCCCCGGTCTTCAGGGCGGGGTGGAACCGACGCTTTCTGTTCCTATTCCAGGGTTAGGGTTAAAGCTGATCATTAAAGATAATGTTTAGCTTTAATTATTTTACTTATCTTATTTGTAATTCTGCAAATATCTAGAAATAAAACAGCTACACGGAAGTTAGCTTCGATGCTAACAAGCTGTTACTCTTCCCGCCAGGTAATTAAATACCGGTGGGACAAATCAAACAACCCACCTGTACCTCTTGGCTCGGTGGCTGGCCTCACTGGTTCTGGTGAAACCTACCGGTTCGGATCGGTTCGGTTCGCTTTGCTGACCTTCACTTCTGACGTCATGGTCAACATAATAGCTTCCCGGAAGTTCCGTTGGGGTCCATCCGGGTCAGTCCGAACGGAACCTCTGGGAGAATCAAATTGGTTCCATTCAAACTTTTGGCGCGACTCTGTGGAGCTAAAATTGTCTCATAATTCACAAATACACAGGACGAAATTCACACTTATATTTTTGATGCAAGCACAAATGTTTCTTGATTTACAAGCTGCTTCTGGCCTGAGTTGCTGCCTTTGTATGTGAATTTTGAGACTCTCCTCCCTCTCAATCCACAAATGTTTTTTATAATAAATGGTCTATCTGATTGGATGATCAGTAATCAATCAGATAGCTTTCTTGTTTCAGCCAATCATATGAACGAACCCCCCATGTTTCAGCCAATCACATTAACCCATTCCAACAGCACTGTAGCCATGATGAAGCTGGGGGGGGCTATCATTTAGTAATGTTTGTTTTTGTTGTGTTATCACCCCCACGCCAGTAGAGGCAGCAGTAGATCCGAAAGGTGCAACTTAGGAGCAGATTTAGAAGTACACAGAAAGCTACAAAATTTGTTAAAAACTGTGAGCTGCGCTGAAGTAAATAAAATAGAGAAGTTTTAGTACATGGTGTAAATACATACATCCTTCCAAAAGGTGAAGATATATCACAGATTTCAAAAGAAAATAAATAAATAAATAAATAGCGCCCCCTTCACTTCCAGAGTGCAGTGGTCATCTTTCCAAATAAGGCCCGAGACCATAGACATAATATAAGAATAGACCCTCATGGACCGCTCTTGCCTATAGAGCTTTGGAACGTGACGTCACTGCTTTAGACCAGTGGTTCTTAACCTGGGTTCGATCGAATCCCTGGGGTTCGATCGAATCCCTGGGGTTCGATCGAATCCCTGGGGTTCGATCGAATCCCTGAACCCCAAGGATTCGATGAGTGGGTCGATGAGTCGGTCTCAGGGGTTCGGCGGAGCCTCTGGAGGTAAAGACACACTTGTGTAAAGTCGTGATATTATTTACCCCAGAAGAGGTAAATAATGAAAACAGAGCAGCAGAGACAACAGAAGAGGAGCAAGTTGGAGAGGCTGAGGAGGAGGAAACCCCAGGAGAGAAGCTCAGCAAGGCTGCAGACTCTGTAGAGGAACAGGAACCATTTGTGTTGAAATACAGTTGGAAGTGGCTGTTTTCTGTCATTTAATAATTTAATGCATTAAACATTTATGAATCGTTTGATTCAAGCTCTTCAAGTTGCATGTAAACAGGTGAAGTAATGAATCACATTTAAAGTCAAAATTTTATATTTAAATATTTCAGGTAATAAACACACATAATGAAAGATTATATTTTTAAATAAATATTTTATTTGATTAAAGTAAACAATTATATAATCAGACATCTGTCAGGACTCTGGGTTTTTGGGTTTGTTTTGCTTTTCATTTTATTTAGCTTCATGTTTTAATCCACTAGTTTAGCCCTTCATGGTCCTTTTGACATTATTAGAGGTATTTAGTGTAGTTGGAATTATATTATTGCTTTTCCTTGTTTGTCTGAGTCCAGCCTTCTTTAATGACTATAGTTTAATTCTATTTTATCCTTCTAGTTATTTCTTATTTCAGCCTCCCTGCAGGGGATCTAATGTTTATTTCTTAATTTGATCACCGTAGGTTCAGTTATTCTCCCATGTCTGAGTCTGTATCTTTCTTTAGTAATTCTAGTTGAGTTATTTCTTTGTTTAGATCTTCTAGTTTCTCTTGCTCTATGTTCCTTAGTTCTTATTGTTAGATCAGCCTTGTTTCTATTTAGGTTCAGTTTCCCTCATATCTTTCTCTCCCAGTTCATCAGGTTTTCTTTACTCTTACTGTCTTTTGTATTACAGTTCCCTGTTTCCTCCCGTTTGTTCCCAGCAGATCTCCTTAGTTTCCCTGTGCCACCTCCTCCCCAGCCCTCAGCCAGCTGCTGTGCCAAATTACTCACATCTGCTATCACTCTTCTCATCTAGCAGTCATTGTTCCCATTACTTAAGCTCCTCTTTGTCAGACACAACTCACCAGTCCAACTTGTTACCCTGCTCACCATGTTGCCAGTTGTTACAGTTGTTATCTCTCGTGTCTCCTGTTTCGTGGTTTTGGATTTCCTTGTTTTCCCTGGATTTTGGATTTAGTTCATTTATTCTGTTCATTAAAATAACATCTTCATAAAGTATGTCTACTTCCTGCTGCGTTTGTGTCCACCGCCACATCATGACACAAACCAGATGAAAGAGCCCATCTTTAAACATTTAATGTGTAATTAAACAATAAAGGTGACAAATGTTATGAAATAGATCACACTTTAATAAATATTTGTTGTATTTAACAAATTCCAGGTAAGTGAACATGTAATGAAATAGATCCTGTCCTAGAATTTTATACAATTGAACATTATGGGTAACAAGTGATGATTATCTGAGGTAATACATTTTATGAATATTTTTTAAAAATATTTTTTAAAATATAATTTTGGTTAAAAAATAAAAAAGGGGTCAAAATGGAATAAAAATATGCCTAATCTATATAGTTTAGTAGAATAATTTCACACAGATTGAGTTAATGGCACACGATTTGGAAGCTACTTGCAAGAGCCATATGAATGAAATGAATGATTATTGAGGTGACGGGAGCCTTTGACACCTGGGTGGTGGGTGTGTCGAGGTGGGCGTGGCTGTCACTAAAGGTATGAATGCATACTGGCTGCTGGCTCATTATGTTTGAGGAAGCGGGTGCGCCGGGGTGGTCATAATTTCCGTTGACCATGTTTAATGCCGTTTATTGTGACACTACTGAATGGTTTGGCCTGGTCAGTCAGTGTAAATCTGTACGATCTGAAGTAAGACGATCAAAGTGGAATAAATAGATGATTGCAACAACAAAGGAAGCGGCGTCGGACAGTTTTAAATTCCCCGGGTTATCCCAGTGCGGCCCTCATACATCTTTAGCTTTGCCGCACATTTAGTACTGAAGAAAACATGCTCATGGCCTGTTTTTGAGAAATATGGCTGAAAATAAAATGCCCAAAATGAATTGAATGTATCTCAAGAACTACAGAGTTTATTTTAATTGTTTTGGTATCAAAACAAAGGTAAGACCCTAGAGAATATATTACAGCTCTAAAAACCACCCTGCCTGTTACTGAGGAAAGTAAATTAATATGATACACAGCAGAAATTAGGAAAAAATATATATTTCCGCTTAAAAAAACAGTTCAATATATTAAGATTCCTTTTAAAGCAAGCAGATGAAATCCAAAACCTGTAGTAAACAACAGTACACAATCTGACCTTTTACTGTGCCAAGTTTCATGAAAAAAAAGTTAATCATATGAGTTTTAGAGAAGTACTACTTGATAAAAATCTAGGCGGATCTTCCAAATTAGCCATTTTGGCACAATTTGGCACAATTTGTGCCATTTGAACTTTCTCAGTTTTTTTTCTGTAGGTTCTGTTTCAATCATTTATTCTTATCATAAAATAAATAATTATTTATCATAGATAAGTAATCTCATAGCGGGGCTGAACCCGTATTACACTAAGCACTGTAGCTAATATTAGCTGGTATCTCGCCGGTGGACATAAATACAGTAAAGTAATATTCTAATCACAATATATACACAATAATATGTCCATCTTACTTGTGAAATGTTGTCTATCGAGCCCTCACATCAATAATCCATCGATCCGAACAACAATATCCCTCAGTGCTGAGGCATCTTCTGCTGTTTTGATTGAGCAAAGTAGGATGGTATACCGCT